AAATTATGCTGTATTTTAATTGCATTTAAATGATATACATCTTCCCAAAGGATCAAAAACCAATTTACAAACTTAGCCTGATATATACATATATTCTGCTGCTCAACATGGATAATTTTGCTACTATTGTGCAGTTGGAAAGATGTGCCAGTGCATGTCAGTGGTGGGTCAATAGTTTGTGAGATGGGAGTCCCAGGGACAACACGGATCTGCTGCCTACGACATTCCTACACATCTCCCAGACTCCATCCCTAATTGGCTTATTTCCATGAGAGTCATTAATTTCTTAAATGATCAAGGCCATTTTCCCTTGGACAAACCAAAATTATCTGACTTTGTTGTTGCTTTGAGAGGCTAAGTCAAATATGTAACACCCAACACACAGCATACAGACCACTGCCTATATTTTTTACCCCTGAAGACGTAATAGACCTACTGGTTAAAAAGTAATTGCGCTGCTACAGAAGCTTGCTTTTCTCATCCACTTGAATCTGTCAAGCTTATTTTACTCATGCTTTTTCTGAGCTGAGACTGTCCCAGCAACATACTAGATTTTACAGCCAGTTGTTTTTAGCTAGACTTGGCATTTGCATTCCAGTAATCATTTTTTAAAAAGGCATCAGCAAGGCTCATTTTGACCTCGCTTTATTGAAAATGTCTGCATGGCTACATGGACTGATAAGCAAATCACTATCACTCATTCATTAAACATTGTTATAAATCTATGCACTAAAAGAGGCAAAAAATTTCCAACAGCTGCAAAAATGCAATGCATGCTCTTCTTGGAGTTAAGGGAAAAGTAAGAAATAAAAGAATTCTCTCAGTCAGTATTCTGGGTTCTGGTATCAGATGTTCAGAGGTTTCTTATTACTAAAGGAGTATCCTCCAAAAACAAGCTAAAACTCACTGAATGGCTGAAAAAGGCAGATTTTGAAGGACCCATTTCAGACAATCCCAAATTTACATGCTGTGTCGAGACAGCCTCTCTGGATGCTTTATTTCCCTACCCTCTCTTTGCACCAGTACAGCAGAGATTAGGCTCTGGGACATGGCAACTTGAAACAGTACGCACACACTACCTTTCCCCACTTGACTGGTTATGAAAGGTTTTATTTAGCTCAGTGGGTCAAAACTGGGAAAAAGTATTCAGTATCATACTATTTATTATTCACAGACTTTCGCATCCATGAAGACAAATGAAGAAAAAAGAGAAGTCCTTAAGCAGAAGACAAATACATGAAAAATCTGTTATGCTGTAGTTCGTCTAGTATATAAATCTTATGTCCATTAAAATTACAGAAACATTTTGTGCCCTATCATCTCTTCCTCACTTAAGCACTCACACTCACTTATGTCTACTTTTTCTCTCACTTAGAGCAAGTCTGACAACCTAATTCAAAATCACACTTTGACAAATTTAAAAAATGTTACGAGTTTGGTTTGACATCCATTACGATTTTTAATAAAAACCCTCTTAGCTTTCACAAGAGAAGCCTTATAACCAAACCATATCACCTTTTTTTGCCAACCACAATCTAATCAGAACACACTGGAACTATTTACAAGTATTCTGAGCCTGCATCTTTCCTGTACGACATAATAAGACTTGTACTGCAAGCATTGGAATGGAAATTGCCAAACTCCTTCTTAAAAATTTAAGACATGCAGCCATCTCCAAGATGTTCAGAAGCTTTTACAATCTTCAAATACCTGATTACAAGGTCTCATTTGACTAGAATCTTCTTCCTCCTTATACTGCAGCATTGCTTTAATTCTTTATAGCTACAGCACTGAAATACAATACAGATGATATTAGCTAGTACCCTTATCGGCAGTTAGAAGAGAACAAAGTACTGAATGGAAACGGAGATTAAAATTCATCTCTCAACACTGCTGAAGGCCAGTCTGGAATGAGAAAACAGAATCCTTTACTTTACATGCTGCCCTAGTTATTTGTCTCAGTTTATTTGTCAACCTTGCTTTTCTTTATCCTTCTGCCTCCCTCCACATTTGTGGAGGCTCTTCAAGTCCTTCTTCTCTCGATCTCCAAATTTGACTTCCTCTTCCATATTCTTCAGGCTCTGCTTACTACAGGCTCCTGCTCCAGCCACTCTGAGCTATCCTTTCTGCTTCCAGTCACAACCTCTTCAGGACTTTTATGACACTAAATTCTTACTGTCCCTGTGTGGTTTTTGTGACTTTTATATTTGAAGGGCACACGTGCCTGCAAATTCATCTACTTTTTCCAACTGTATTAGTTCATCTAATGAAAGATATTATTTCTTCTTCCAAACCTTGCCTCACTTTGCATCTGAAGGCTTCCACCCCCACAGCAGCTAGATGTCAGGAAGGAGGAAGGGAGCACAGGATAGATGCTGGCCTTAATTAAACAAACCTACCATCTAATAAAATTAAAACAGTTCCTCTTCAGATGAAGATTTATACCTTTCTATAGTCATAACATTGGACTATCTATAAAATAAAACCAATATCTCAGCTTTAACCTTTCCCTAGGCCAGACAAGATGGTGTCTTTGGAATTCTTCCCTGGTATCACAGAAGCGACTGAAAAGCCTTTCAAGGTAAAAAAAATATTTGAGATACCTAAACTGATGAACTGTGCACCCGAACATTCTGGTGCAGCTTAAATATATTTGGAGAACAGTCTGAGGTCAGAAGGGTGTTTTATGAGGGGGAAAGGAACAGCAGTTTAAGCTCCTCTGCTTGCTGTATGCGAATATGTTCCAAACGCACAACACAATCACATGGCTCAAAGCTAAATTTAGAGACAGTGAATTATTCATTGCAACAATAGTCAGCTAAGCTTATGTGAACTCTCAGAAAGTGAGTACACCATCTGAGATAAGTTTATTTCATACATACGCCTTATTTTTTCAGATCTGATTTTATGGTCCAACCAGTTGCCCAGAATCCTGTTGAAGGTTTTCCTAAAGAGAGGCCAAAATTATACGTAGTTTACATGCAGTTTTTAATACATTAAAATTCAATTTACCTTTGTAGCCAGGGGTACAGAAAGTGACAGTTCAATTGAACTGCAAGGGCAACATAAGAAAGAGAAAAGTCACTAGTAGGATAGTTGTTTGGATGATCAGAAAACTATGACGTTCAGATTTCATTGCCGCCTTGTTCAAAGCAAACACTTGAACTCACAAAAGATAGCTCAAGTCCCTCCTCTAGATCCTGGGAGAAGCTTATTTAAGTATATGGGAAAAGATTACACTAGACTGAATGACACAAGAGGCTCCTCCAGCCCCTCTGTCCCTAAGAATACTTCAAAATCCAATTCACACATTGTATTCAGTACACAGATTATGTTCTAAGCTATTGCCACTGCAAGTATGAGCAGTGAAGCTGCATACAACACCATTTCAAATGTATTCCCATTAAAGGCAACTGCATTGCCAATATTATTTAGCTTAAACATTCTCTTACAGCTTTATCGTCAGTTTGCCCGGAGGGCTGACACTTACTCTTACACTCAGGATTGGACTAATTAGTGTAAAGACAAACACCAGTGATGATGTGCACGGGCCATAATTCTGCTGAAAATGTCTTTATCTAAGAGCTTGTTACTGATTGAGTGAGAGTTTGCTAGCAGCAAAGGGGAACCATATGGAACTCGCCTTGTTAATCTCAGGAGAATCAAGGAAAGAATTCATGTATTAAACCTGTCAATCCACCATAGTATTTATTCCTTCAGAACCATAAGGTGGTGAGATGGACAAGAGTGTTTGTCTCAACCCGGCAGGCTTCAGAATACTAAAATTGCTTGGGAAAGGTACTGTGTATCTGCCATACTTCTACTTCGTTCAATGATTCTTTCAGAGGCAAAACAGTAACTCAAAAAATAAACATCTTTATCCTTTTTCAGGTGATTCTAAACCTTATTTATTTTTTAACTTAGATTAACAGCTTATTTATGGGAAACCATTAGTAGAATATGCACAGTGTATCCATTCCATGATCTATTTGATTACATTGTCAACACAGCAGAATGTAGGAAGTAATTTAAACTTAGTATAAACATTTGGATTTCTTGGAGGACTAAAATTCATCTGTAGTAAAGCAGTCAGCAGTATCCATATTATCATTTATGTTTCAAAGTCAATGTGCTGTCGAGACGGCTAGGACCATTCTTGCTCCATGCAACTAGCATTCCAGGCTTTTGGAGAGAAAATTTAACTCTGTCCTGGTTGCAGTTTGAGCTGGTATCTTTAAAGTGATCCTCACACAGTAATGAAAGGCGAAGTTTGTAGCGTGTAGTGTAAGCTTTGTATTAAGGGAACACAATTCTCCAGGGATAGTTTCTGAGGAGAAGACCACAGTCAGGAAATGGGTTTCCTGACAAGATTTGAGACTTTACTGTTGGTTATTCACAGATTGGGAACTCTGGGAGGAAGAACTGCGACTGCTGCCAGCACTAGACAGACTTTGCTCATTAGAGACTTCGTAAATTTAATCTGCAAAAGGAGTGGCATGCAATGTTGCATAGAGACACAGTTTTCAGAGTTTTCAGTTTCCATTTCCAATTTCAGGCCTACACGGGATGTTTACTGCTAGCACATTCCTTTCAATACTGGTTATGTCTCCCCATATACTTCCCTTAGATAAGGAGCAGGTTGCTTGTACATGGATTTACAAGTATTGTCACTGCTGAGATATTCATGGACATACCAGCAGAGGCAGGTCACTGATGGTGTTTATGGAGTAGCAAGCTGGGCTTTGGGGAACTCTGTGATTTTAATTAGGGCTTTGCAGTTCCGATTTGAAGGATAATACATTCTCTCTGTTTACATATCACTGACAGTCATACAACATCTTGACAAAGTGATACATGCCAAGAAATACAACTTTATTTAACAACATACAAGCAGAGAAGTCTAGTGGCGGGCTCAGCTTTAATTTTCACTTTGTTTCTCCAGCTCTTTCTCATCTACTCTTACCCTTATGCAGTTCAAAATATAGAAAATGCAGATATACCATTTCATCACAAATTTTCCAGATGGTTTACTTCTTCTGGAGTTGAATGAAAGCCCGTTTCCCTGGTGTCTAATGAGATTTGCCCTGGTAATTCTTCGGGAAGCTGAAAACAAAACCAAAGGATTAGCAGGATGTTAATGGCATTTGCATTCTTTACAGCCATCTAATTCCTAACAAAAACATTGTCTGTTATTCACAAAGGATTCTTAACTGTTAGACTCTCTGTCCCTTTAGATGTTCAGTTTGATAATACCAGCATGAAAATGCCACCCTTTACTTAAATAGTCACTTTTTTTTTTGGATTGAAACAACCAGGAGAGATGATGTTCACTAAAACAGTCTAACGTAAAGTTATGATGTCTTGTAGGGCTAATTTTCTAAGCTAGAGCAGAAACACATTAAGAGACTGATGATCTGATGACCCCGGAAGACTGGGGGAAAACAGAAGCTAACTTGAATCCAGAGTTCTTTCTAGTTTCTAGGCAGAGAGAGGTCTTCTTTCATCTCCATTTTAGGAATAAAAGGCTGTTTTCCTCTACTAAAGAGTATGCTCTAATGTAAATGTTATCCTAGCCAGTCAGGTAGTCTGCCTGGTCTCAACACAGGAACAGCTCAAAAAACATCATTTGTGAGCAGGGTTTACCCTATATGCAATGTTTATAGCATATGATATGCCATATTTAGGTTTGCAATTTCCTCTTCAAATACAGATTCCTATACTTTGTTGTGTTTGACTTCCATTTTTAGAACAGGAAATTTCTGTGCATGCCTCTCAAAGTAGTTACGACTTTGATCACTAGGGAGAAACAGTGAGTGACCACTGTCAGATGAGTATGCTACAGGTCTCCTAAAGGTGCCGAAATTGGCAGCAGCATGTACACTGAACAAGTGGAATAATGTTGCTACAAAGGGATTTTTACAACTGCAAGAAACTACAGTCATCTTATTCCACAACAACAGCAGTGACTGTACAAATCCACTTCGCCTGTTCTCCAGGGGAACAGAATAAAGAGAGGCATTACTTGATAAAGAAAAATTCATAGCAAAGAAACCCACCTGCACAGACTGTTTTTCATCAACCCAATTCAAGTCCTCCAGTATGATCTGTATTGTGTGGGCAGGGATTTTGGATTCCAGTTCCCTCCACTGCTTCTTGATCTTGAGCTTATTTCCATCTTCCCACAACAACGGCAAGCAGCTCCCAGGTCACAACACTGTTTCAGATGCCCCAGTATCAAAAAAAAAACCCCTATTTCTAGCTCCTTCATATACAAGGGAGATGAAAATCATTGAAATCTGGGTAGAAATAACCTGTCTCCCACACGTCTCAGGGAGGTTCCCAGACCTTCAGGCCTCTGATTTCTCTGTCATAACTAGACGTATTGAAAAATTCCTGTATAGTTAATGACATCCAGTCATAATTAGGGTGTCCAGGTAGCCCCGTTCCACTTAGGTTTGTGTTTTCTTATGATCTAAATATGCCCATTTGTATCCGCTTCATTCATGTGATGGCATAATTGTAAGTTGCTTTCCAAGACAGAATTGCACTGGAAAAGAGTCTTTAACTTTGTGGATAAAAATGCAACAATCTCATAGAACTGGAAGCTAACGAAAATTTTCTAGCAGCAAGGATAGAAGTTTGTGAGGCCATTTTGCCCAGGTAGAACCAGTTGAACCCTCTGTGCCATAGCATACTTTCTGCATTGGTATTAAATGCAGCAGTAAACAAAAGGAGTGACTGATATAGTACTTAGCAACTCCAACGCATTTGCACCTTACTTTTGCACATTACTGAGAGCATTTGGAAGGACTGCACAATGTATGGCACACAGGGTCTTTCACTGGCAAAATTCTTGTATGGAGACAAAGCTCTTATCTCAGGCTATATGACACATACTTTCCAAACCTACACACTTGCATATGAATAAAACATTTCTAATAATAACTTTGTTTATGCACAGTGTGGACATTGATATGTTACCCTGTTTATACAAGATAGTCTTATTACATGAATATGGGACTTCTTCTGTTTTTAAAAATTTTCTGTTGCAGTGGATCTTCCAAGCATACTGAAAACCATCAAACTTCATCCCATAAGTGTCAACATATTTTTGAGTGGGAAGACATAGGGAGGTGTTATACAACCTCTGGAAATGTTCCAGTTTGAAAAATCATGTGTGGTCAAGTCTCTTAGTTCTAGCTCATCATCATGCTGCTACTTTAATTTCCAAATTAATGCAATCCAAGAGATGAAAGACAACAACTATTCGCAGAGAAACTGTTTACAGAAATTTCAGTACAAATCCCATTTTCTCTGGGCCGGGACTGAATTTCTATTCCACCCGCACACCCACACACACACACAAGGTTTCCCAGCAAAATAGCCAGTGGCTGGAGGTTAGTGTCATCACATGGGAGGTGAAAAACTACATTCAAGTCTCTACTGAGTGCATGGCTGTCCCAGACTAGATTCTTGGACTGATGTGGATCACACCTTCCTTCTCCTTACAAAGCGTTATGCAGAATGACAAGAGGCTTCAAATCCCCAAATGTTTCATGAAACAAAATTCTTGTTTTCCAGTCAGCCATAATCACGATCCCATTCCAGTTCCCAGTGGGAAGGTAACTACCACCAAAAAAGACTATAAAACTATCATGGAATGACTCTTGAGATGCTAAGAGCAGAAAGACTAATGCTTAACTGAAGCCAAAACTATTGCTGTTCCAGTATGATAGGCAAAGTAATTTGCACTGGTGCAACTCACAGGACATCCATCCTCCATATTAAAGACTTCCTGTAAAACACTGTTAGTCAAATAACTTTCATTATCATTCTCTACATTGAAATAGGAGGTGGTATGGGATGCGAATATATTCTATTGTGTTTCTTCAGCATCCTTTCTCTCCCAGAAGACAGGTGAACTCTTCCTACTTCTAAATTGTATTTGTGAAGCACCAAAATGATCAACAACAATAATTTATGGTCTCACTTCCAAACCTCCCTTTCACTACCTCACAGATGTTGCAAAATCTCATGCAAAAGACTTGTCAAACATATTCCCATTCATCTTTTTTTCCCCCCTTTGGTACATACTGCCCATCAAAACTGTTTTGAAAGCAGACACTTCCAATCCAACAACATCCTCTGAAAACCAGCCAACTTGCCACCTCATCCCTTGTCATCCTTCTTGGCAGTTCACTGAGAAGACAGGCTTGCACCTACATGTCCTGCAAACTATGACAGAAACTGTCCTAAAATGAAGTTTTCATTCCATTTTATGAGAAACTGAAAAATCTGGGAAGTTGTTTTAAACTGGAGTGAATCCTGTACTCTAAAATATATTCACCCTCCATAAAAGAGAACACCTTTCTTGGTCCATTTCCACCTAACATAGTAACAACACTCAAGCATTAAAAATGTACATGGTAGACTGGGACATTACTTTTTTACCAATATCTAACAATAAAAGTTTACTATGTGGTTGGAATTTAATGATTTTCTTCCTTATGCTTTAAAGTTTCAAATAGATGTTTCTTCAGTTTGCACCATGCAGAATTACATTCAGTGTTTCCCAGTTACATTTTCCAGCTGTAATACCCTATGCATCTCTCTCTCACTTTTCCTCTCTCCCTCTTCTTTCTGTATCAAGCACTATCTAAACTGACAGACAGGCAGACAATGCATCAGCCTTTTCAAACTCTACTGGGAAATGCACTTGAAATAAAAGTATCAAAACCATCCAAAAGCACACACAAAATATAATGGCATGCAATTAATTAACCTGTCAAGAGAGAAGCAGACATTATTGTTTGGATGAGCTTTTTAGATTGTGGGTTGCTTCCTCTTGCCAGGTGCAGCTGCAGTGATAGCGGGGGGGAAGCCTACAAAAGTACTGGGTTTTGCCAGCCGAGAACAAAAACCAGCCTTCAGACAAACGGCCTGGCCATGCACTCACAGATCACAAGAGGTTCTCTTCAGAAGAAACCAGATGCAGGATGAAACAAAGCAAGGGTTTTTTTCCATTTTGTACAGCTGGTACCAATACCATTTCTATCAAAAAAATTGTAATTAAAAGAGTGGTTGGGGCTCAACCAGAGCTAAATATATGGTGCTTCTAATGCTCAGGCCTGTGAAATACGGAGCACCTCCTGCAGTGGAAACTGATACTTGGTACATTACAGAAAGAGAGAAGTAGAGCATAGAAAGAGTCTGGTGAGGGCTGTTTGGCCAGGATCCCTGTAGGAAACACATGAATGTATGAATTTGACAAAGCTATTTAGCTTTATGAAAAGTAAAAACATCAGAAATCCCAGTTTGCATACATTGTTTCATCTGATACTCTTAGACTCTTATCTTAATTTCTATATAGGATTTATAATAAATTTTATGTTAGTGCTTCCAGAATCCATGCTTTGCTTTCATAGCTTTCTGGAAATTTTTTCACTTTGTTAATGTTTGATTAACTGTTTCTTTGGTTATGTAATCTTTAAGTGTGTTCTTACATTACCCACACTGCCAGTTCTAGCTTTCTTTTCTTGATCTAGTCTTTAAAAATTACCTGAGCTTCAGGAAATTCTCTGTTACATGGGGTTAAATCACTACCAAGATTCAGAGGGCTTGTTGAACAGCTACCGTTATGTATATCTCCCTACTCTGGGACATTTCTTGTTCATAAGTTCATTGTAGGTTATTCATAAGGTAAATGACTAGGAAAAAGATAATCCTTTAGGTTCAGATAATCACAGTACTGGGGTGGAAGATTCTTCAAATATAAAGCAGTTAGTTATGTATTATTCATCTTTTTCAGATATCAGGCATAAAACTTGAACTGAAGCGTAACAGGCCATCCTGGGCTACAGATACACATTACAGTTTGGGAATATATTCTAAGAGCTACGTTGTGAAAATACTAAATGCATGCCTACATGCAATGGAATATAAGAGCGCTTCTGTAAAAAACAGGGTTATGGGTAATACATTCCCAGCTGAAATATGTGTCAGGCCAGCTCAAAGAGAGTTTTGTTCACTGGATAAAGGCCTAATATTTAAAAGATATAGAAAGTTTTATTCCCCATGTTATTTGTAGGGATTTCATTAAAAAT